TGCAAGTTTGAGATGTTCCAATAGCAACTCTATCTGATGAATAACCATGCGTCTTCTTTGCTTTACTTGGCCCAAGCACTTGAAACAATGTCACTTCTAATGTATCCATATTGTCCTTCAGTTCATTTTTCTCAATCAACTCTCTACCTATATAGTTCCTCCAGTGCCTTTGAAACTTCGTAGTCTCCTCGTAAATCACAAAGTCAATTTTCAACAAATGAGAAAAATCCAATTGGAGCTCAATTCCTGGATCGAGTAGTATTACAATAGGATTGTGTTCTGGAATCAAGTCTTCGACAACCTGCAAAACAAAGTTAACCAAACTAGGGAGGGAATTGTTAGTTTTCACCACGACCTCCTCAACTTCAGGCTTCCTTTCAATTAAACTCACTTCCAACTCATTTTTCCCTTCCGAAGACTCTTCTTCATTTTCTTTCTGCAGATCCACTTTCCCTTTTGGATTTTCACTCTCGTGTGGTCTTTTTCCTTTCACCTTACAACTAACTACCTCACAATTTTCTCTCTTACCCTTTTGTTTCTCCATGGGAGTTTTTCGAGAGTTAATCAGGTCACGATTCTCTAAGAGTTCATGATTATAATTCAACCCAGTCCTTTCACTCGATGTACCACCAACATACCTTGCGATAGGTGTTTTCTTTTCCACTGGATACTCAACCCCATAACATGATCTGGGCTTCTCTCTAAATTCTCATTCACACTGATCTTTCCTATCCCTATTTTCAAACCTTTCGCTTTTATTTCTCAATCCCCGTACTTTATCAATGTACTACCAACTTCATATGCATCACAAATTTTTATCCTAGGCTCACGTCTCTTTACATTGAACACCTCATCACATTGACCCCCACGAAATTTATTCAATTTTGATTCCAACCTATCCATCCTATTTATTGTATTTTCCACGTTCTCCAGCAATTTCTCAAATCTCCTCATCATCTTTTCTGACATTTTGATTTTACTTTCAAACTTGACTCTCTTTTTTTTTTTACTCACTGGATAGAAAATTCAATTACAAACCTGACAAAACAAACATAAGTTGTTTTGGATACTAAATTAGTCCAAAAATAACTTTTGAAAATTTAACGGGATTTAAACAAATCAGCGACTCAAACAAATTGAAAAATTACAATAACACCAAGAACACAAAAAGAAAACAAAAGCTTAATAAAAAATTTTAAAAAAAATTGGATATAACTTTGATATTGGATTCTATGCTCTGATACCAAATGATGTGAACCCGATTAGTACGGATGCTATCGAACCCACAGGATATTAAACTGTATCCCGAGAAAGCCAAGAATCGAGGTTTTAGACTCAACCCACAATATTGGAACTAAGCAACCAATAATATATTAAATTATTGACATCTTGATTATGCAAAATTAATGAATTTCACTCGAAATTTTGGATCTGACCCAATAATTACGAACCTAACAAGAAAGGCGTTGTGAAGGACATTTTGATTACAAATAATTATATAAATCACACCCGATTTGTTGAACGCCACAAGATGGTTAATCTTGATAAGTTCAATTTTTGTCCATGAAAGAACAAAGTTTTGAAGCAAAAGTTTCGATAGAGAAAAGTCTCAATTTTTCATTATCAAAAGTTTTCTAATACAATGAAAGAAAATACAACTAGTTATACTAACCCTAGGAAATAATGTAAAAACGGAATTAGAGTCCTAAGAATATTAAAATTACCAAAAAAAGGCATTTTAGCATAAATAAAATTCTTTCCGGAAAAGGAAAATTTTCTGCCTCATCTTAGTGCTATGCAACTGCATAGCACAATCAGTTGCGATTGTATGGTTGACATGTTGAGCCTCCGAAATTTCCAACCAGGTATGCAATCGGAAGCCCATCTCCATGCTGCGGTCGCATGATGAAACTGTCTAGCCCTTCGTCCATCTCTTGAAACACATTGATCTAACACCTTTTGCCCTTCGACCCCAACATCAAACTTGGACCTTGGCATGATAACTTCATCATGTTGAACTCCAGAGCTTGATCACGATAACGGCCATCTTTATCAACCCAATTAACCTCCAACTTAGCTTGAATCTTGTTTTCGATCGAAATCAACTTTGCACTTGGCTTTCTTCCAACAATCAAAAAATTCCCAGTAGTTTGGCGCCCATCTCGGATCATATCAAAACTTGTGCTCCACTTTTAAATTATGCAAAAAGTGGCCACTATGATATTTGGGGAGTATTAACACTAACATATAACGGAATTATATATGTTCAGTTTTAGCAAAGTAATAGATATATTTAGTTTTTATTGCGGCCTGTCACCCGTGCCCATTCAAATTTATGGATTCGTCGCTTTTTATGAAGTTAGTTTTTATTCTTTGATTGATGCTTAAAAATTTTAAAGCGATGCATGTTTTCGTGGACCGTTGTGTGATTGTTTGTCTAATATGCGAACACTTTACTATCGGTAAAAATTTATTAAGCAACTAAACCTAACTATTGAAGGCCTATTTTTTGTTTTAAAGGTTGAGGGGCAGGGGTGCCATTTTCTCCATTCACATTGCATCGGATACCTGTGATTCAAATTCAAATTCAAATTCATTCGAAAGCGACAAGACCCGTGTAGAATTGCAGTAGTTTTTAACCGGTTAGGCGGGCCACGGGTGATATAATTGGAGCTCCGATTTAAATTTTTAAATTTCCTAGATTCTCTTTCTCACGTGCTCCGGCACTTTTTAATAAATTCAATCCAAAAGTGATGTCATAATATAGTATTTTCTCTGACAGTCCTTTCACTTCAATACTTTGTGAGTTGATACTATCTTCATGTGCTTTTTTGTGTTTGTATTTATTGCTTTATTTTAATGCGAGATTACATGAGAGTGGTATTTTTTACTTTCGGGAACTCACAAAATTCACAATAGAATTTTTTACTTTGATTGTAGATCGAAGTAGTGAAACTAAAAAAATAACAGCCTGCAAAATTATGCACTTTGCACACGAGCATGTTTGAGAGTAATTAAAATTATATTATAAATGGGTAATAGATATACGTATATTATTTGTGTGTCCACGAAATATGTGAATAAAAAAATGATCTGATAAATTATAAATAGTTAATAACAATAGCCAAACATGGACTTAATGTTACAAGCATGATAAAAGTTCATTTAAATTGAACTAAAATTTAATCTTTAATGTTTGAGAAGTGTTACTCCTTTATTAGTGTGTAAATCATGATTTAAAAATTGAAACCAATCAATTTGATTTGAAACTTAGCCCCCATTTCGTGGAAATAAAAGTAGGTGGAGTAGTGTTTTTTTTTGAAAAATGAGTAGTTGAAAAAGAAGAAATTTTTTTCGATCTAGGCATAATATTATTTTATGGAAAATTGTGTGGTTGAAATTAGGATCGACAAAAATGAAATGTAATGAAATAGAAATTAATGGGGCCAAACGGGTGCTTAATCAAATCATGTTCATAGCTACTCAAAACATTGTCAATATGTACCTATTTCTTTTGCAAAAGAAGCAAGACAATTATTGATACAATTAGGGACGTTAACAAGTCGAGTTAGGTCGTGAGCCGAAACTTAAGACTCGAGCTCGACTCAAATAAAAATAGTTCAGACTTTTTTGGCTCAAATTGAGCCCCAACTTAAGCTCAACTCGGGCCTTATCGAGCTGAGTGGGCTCATGATTTTATTTATATAAGTTGTCCATGGCTGTGTTTTTATTTTTCATGGGCCAAAAATGACCTGCGACATGAGCACACTTGTGTGGCTCTGGCTGGCTTGGGCTTGAAACTGAGCCTCAAGCCAAGTTGACTCGACCTAGAGCCCGAGTCGACGAGTCAAATTGACATCCCTAAATACTATTGAGATAAGGCTGAAAAAGAAACATTTTTTTTTTTAAATATAGCTTTTAAAGCTAAACCCTTGTTGCTGAAAAACGAAATCTCGCGTTGTGATAATTCACAATGTATATTAATGTACAAAAATTTACATTACATATTTTACTTGTGACCCTATACATCAAAGCACATTACAGTAATTAATACCTTAATAATAATGAATTTTGACATTTAATAAAAATTCATGACATTGATTGGATTTAATATTTCTGCTATCTAATTATTAATAAAAAAGATTAAATAAAAAATTAATTTATTTATAAAATCACGTTCTTTAAATAACCATCAATTTTGATTAGCACATTTCTTCCTGATTGTCCCAATCTCGAAGTGCATGCTTCAGAGTACCATATGAGCTTACAACTTGGATGTGTCAAGAAGAGAAAAGATGTGAGTGAATGATACCTAATTTATCTATGTTAGACAAATGAGATTCATCATCCATATCTTCTTCGACTTCCTCTTCATGACGATCTTGTAATGATGCAAGTATTTTCTCAATTGGCAATATGTCGCTCCTCCTTTATATGTACTAAATAGTAAATACAGTACAATGAAAACTTTCTAACAATCTTAGAAATGCGTAGGCCTTGTATGAGCTACATTCCTTCAAAATAATAATAATAATAATAAATTTAAATTGTGAGACATCATTTCAATCACATATTTTTCAGTAAAATAATATTACACACAAATTCGAAACTTTTTCTCATTTTTTAACTACACATTCTACATCAATATATTATTCCAAAATACATTATTTTAAAATAATGTGACTCAAACACACACGTAATGTCATTAGTGTATATACAACATTTTTTTAAAAATAAATGTTCAATAAATTAAAAAAACTGATAATTAATAAATTATTATATAAAGAATCGTATTAATTAGAGATGTCTACTCGAAAACAGAAGACAAGAAAACAAGAAAAAGGTTTGCTCAGAAAAGGAGGAAAAAATAAAGAAACTAAGAAAGAAAGGGGTTAAAATGAAAATTCACAAAAATGGAGGGACCTCTAATGAACACAATCGGGCCCCACTAATCCTAAATTTGGGGAAGGGATCTTTTCTGCGGAAAATTGTTTTAATTCATTGCATCAAATAAATTGGGTTCCTTTCTTCATTCGCCCCCTCATCTTCCCGCGTTGGAGGGAAAATAAAATTTTATAATTTTCTCAAATTCTTCTGCAGGTAAAAGCAATATCCTTGGAATTTTTTACTCACTCAACTGAATATGACTTCAATGGTTTGAAACTTTGAGCTCTGATTTTCATTTTAATTTTTACCTCACTTGCAGGAGCAGCTGTAAGTAGGTTTAGTTTGTGATATCATTTCAATTTCAAGTACGACGTTTTTTTCCTGGCATGTTTATCGTTTAATTATTTGTTTTTTTTTTTTTGAGTAATTTGTTATGCTCTGTTTGATTTGTGTTGATTATTAGGGTTTTGAATTGCTTCAGCGTCGAGGCTTACTTACTGTTTGGGGATTTTGTTGAAATTGGTTTTATTCTGATGTTTTCAGTTGAGCGGTTTAGAGATTTGAGGTACTTTTATCTGTAATAGTCTCGTCCTTTTGATTTAAGTTTTTATGAAGTGTTTATGGCTTTTCATTTCTACTTGATGAGGTTCTTATTTGGGATATTTTGCTTTTACTGGGTAAATAGCTTTATTATCATTTGGTTGCTATTCAAATGAACGTTGACAAGTGTTGTGGTGGGAAAATGTATGTCTATCATACTGGGAATACAGTAATTTACTGTTGCTTGATCACGAAATAGTTATATATGATTACTTATACATGTATGAAAATTAGGATCAAGCTAAAACAAGGAAAAAGAATAAAGAACAGAAATGAAAAACAAAAACAAAAAAGACTTGTTCAGTATAAGTATTGGGTTAAATATCACATTGTTATTGTAGATATTTCATGAATGTGCTTGCTGTTTTATGTTTGGTTCAAAAATATCTTTACAGATTCACACTGCTGGAGCTAGTTTATTTTTTAAGAATTGACTGTTATTTGGTTTAAAAGAGGCTCTTCACGATGTTTTAGTTTTTAATTTCGTGTCATGCTGAGTTCATGGTTGCAATTCTACTATGGAAAATGATTATGCACTTTTCTGCATGTTCCCACAATGAGACTCAAATTGTATTGTTTGAAGCATTATAATAGTTGACTGGGTCATCTGTTTTCAACTTTGGTGGTGTTATTGCTCTGTCAGGAAACAAATTTTCCTGAAGAATGAAGAATTAATCCCCCAACAGTGATATTCTTGCCTAAATGAGAGATGCAGACCAAGAAGAAAGTTACTGGAAGAAATTCTCGAGATCTTGCTAGTCCAAGGGTTTCGAGACACCAAACGAAGTTATCCGAAGACGTGCAAGTTCAAGCAAAGAAAGTTACAGAGCTAATCACGTCTTCTGCTAGAAAGAAAAAAGTTGGTAAGTAGGTAACTTGAACCCATTATTCAAGTTATCTTCTTGAAATAGTCATTTGTTGTCATCAAGCCCAAGATGCTAATCCACCTTTATTTATGAAACTTAGATATCAAACTAAAGGAGCGTTTATGGCTCCCTTTCTCTTTTACACCACTGAAATCAGTTTTTGGTGAACTTTGTTATTTTAGTTTATGCAACTCAGCATTATCCTGTATTCACAAGTGGACTCACATATTTTTGTGTTCCTCTAAGTTGGCATTCTTCCAGAGAAAGTTGAGGAATCCGTTGCTGCAACCAATTTGAATACAAGATTCAGATTGGTGGAGGGTGATGATCCAAATGAGTGTTTTGGCAATGACACAATCCATGGACTTGATGACGCTTTTGTAATTAATAAGGTGACTATATGAGTTTCATTTTCTATAGTTCTTAAATCATTTTTCACTTGCAATTGTCCAATTTTCCTTCCATATTATTATGGATTTTTATCATTTATTTGCATTTGTGCTACTGCCATCAAAGATAATTTTGAAATCTATTCATGTTAGAATTTAGAATATTTGGATTTTGTTTTGGGTTAGCTAGTAAAATCTTATGTGATATCTTGTCATATTTTAGGAGCATGATCATGGAACTACTCATTGTGCGGGTGAAACTATATTTTCTCCTAGCTTTCATAATACAAGAAATTTTGGAGGTGAAATTTCAAGTGGAGGTACGCGATAAATTTGATGCTTATTTTTTGCTTATTTTTCTGTTTAGGCTTATGTTCTCAAATTTTCTCACATGTTCTCAAAATTTTCCATTACCTTTTCTTCCACTGGAAGACGTCTTCAAATTCTTTCAGCATGGAGACCACCATATTTGGGACTACGGCAATGAGAACTTGAAGATCAGTTGCCCTGGTACGAGAATAAAATACCAATGGCTCATTGTAAATCCACGTATACTTTCAGTTACTTCTTTCAATCCTAATGCTGGCATTGCTGCTTTTTATGCAAATGTAGGTGGTGGCAACCTAGCAACTGAAGTTCCAGCTATACATCTTTCCATGAAAAATTCAAACCTGAAATGTGTTGAACATGAAAATCAAGATCATATGGCAACTGATGTTTGTCTAGAGGGTGAGGAAATTGAAGAATTCGATGATTTTGACCCATTTTTTTTCATAAAGAATTTGCCAGAGTTGTCGGCAGTTGTTCCAACATATCGGCCTGTACTATTACCAAAACAAACGAGAAGCTGCCCATCAACAACTCTTGTTCTAGACTTGGATGGTAAGCATGCTTTAATCATATCTTATTTATTACTAAGTTTCATCTATGTAGCTGCCCATCAGTTGTTCCAACGTATCCCTGAATAGTGGCTTCTCAAATCATTTTTCTATATTATTTATCCCCTATTTGAGCTCCATTATAATTAGATTTTTGAGAAAAATGTATTTTGTAGTAGTGATTTTTTGAGAATGTGGTTAAAAAGGAAGGAAAAGTTTATATTTATGTGTAATATTATTTTATTGGATAATGTGTAGTTGAAAATAAGAGAGAGTAAAATGTATTATCAAATTAATGCAGCCCAAACAAGGGCTAAAAATTGCTAGCCCTGTTTATGATTGAATTCCTGGAAAAAAGGAAATGTTGCTAAAATAGCAAAATGGATAATTTTCACACTTGAAACTGGTCATTTTAGATGGAAAATAAGTAAGAACAAAATAAACACTAGTTTATTTTATGCCTAAAGTACATATTTTGGCGTGTTTCCATTGCCAATTCCATCATAATCTCCAACATATCTACTTGTGTATGCTTTTTTAATACAATCTGTGAAGGATTATAGGGAAGTTCATTGACAATTACTTTCCAGATTTTTTTTTTTTTTGGGTATCATACTGGCGTAAAGGTTATCAACAAACCCTTGCTTGTATGTGTGTAACATACGCTGAAACTTCATTTTTCTATTTGGCAGAGACCTTGGTGCACTCCACGCTTCAACCTTGTGATGATGCAGATTTCACGTTTTCAGTTAATTTTAACTTGAAAGATCATACAATTTATGTGCGCCTCCGCCCTTATCTGAGAGATTTCATGGAAAAGATATCCAGTCTCTTTGAGATTATTATATTTACTGCCAGTCAAAGCATTTATGCTGAGCCACTTCTGAAAGTGTTAGACCCAAAGAGAAAAATATTTCGGCATCGTGTGTACCGCGAATCCTGTGTGCCTCTTGATGATAATTACCTCAAAGATCTTTCCATTCTAGGTCGTGATTTAGCACGCGTTGTTATGATCGACAACTCTCCTCAGGTAATTTTACCGCTCATTCAGATATGATTTATGGAGAAGTACTTACATTGTATGGAGTTCACTATTTTCCTTTTCTTGACCCGTGGATAGAAATTTTTTTGTTTACTGTTTTATGTGTTCAATGAAGCTATTAATCTTCTCATTGTGAAAAGAGATTCCCTGTTATAAGCTATTTTTGGACTTTTGGTGTTGATCATTAAAATTTCTATATTCGCATGATAACTGTAATGAAGTTTGAAAATCCATCTTCTGGCATAATCTCATTCTTGTCTTGTGTAATCTTCTGCCTTTGATGGTTAATGTGGTAAAAGAGTTCTTTTATCATGTAAAAAATTCAAGAATAGATATTAAGGCGTGAATCTTCTAAAAAACTCATGTCACTTGCACTGCCTTCTGTCAATGTAATAAGAAGCCTTAAAAAATTAGCTCATTAGCTGATTAACATTGGCAGCGGTTTTGGTTTTCAGGCATTTGGTTTCCAGGTGGACAATGGAATACCGATTGAAAGCTGGTTTGATGACCGTTCTGATACAGAGTTATTGTCTTTACTTCCATTTTTGGAAAGTTTAGTTGGTGTAGAAGATGTAAGGCCTGTTATTGCCAAAAAATTCAACCTTCGAGAGAGAATAGCTGCAGCGGTCTGTCCTTTAGGCTACAATGGTGGAGACACTGAGCAGCTTAGTGCATGATGTTTTCCATGACACCACACAAAAGGATTGCTTGGACTTTATTAACCTTGCTTCACATTGCCATAGTCTTGGTTGAGAGTGAGTAGAAAGAACTTGTGTGGAAAGAGGAAAGTTATGAAGATATAACAAATTCAGCGGTAATTTCATGTGATCTTAAGATTTTAAAGACTGTATACTCAGGAATTCTCACATGCTTCTGATTTTATAAGTAGAGTGAGATCAGCTAGGTTCCTGGAATCCTAGTGTTCCTAGGTGACAATAATTTGGTTGATACTGCATCAATCTTTTGATTTAAACACCAAGTATTTACTCTTTCATGCTGCTTATAATAGTTCGAATTTCTGGTGAACTTAGGTCTGTTTAAGTCCCGTAAGTATGGGTTGGGATCCTATAAACAACACTGTGGGACACACAGAGTAGGTGGGTCCCACATTATTTGGAGTTTATTAGCTCCCTCAAAAATATGGTGTCATTTTAGATAGAGAAGTCGAACATGTGATAAAAGCGTTAAATATTGCCTATCATTCAAAAGAGGAAAACTCTTTAATTTTTCGAAACTAGTCTATTTATATTTTATTTCCAGTAAGTTAACCTAGATAAGTTCTTCAGTAATGCCTCTGGAAGGACTACCATTGTCTCAATTCTGGTGTAACTTGTCATTCTTTGAAATTGACTGTCATCTGGGTGAGCTAGTTTTCCAACTAGCTAATGGAGAACTTTGTTCCTTGGGATTGGAATTGGGCTTACTTGTGCAGCCTAGTTGGATGGTGGAAAATACCCATTTTTTTTCCCCCTTAGTGTAAAGGATTACTTACTAACAATCGTCTCAAGCTATTATTCACCCCTTGAAGAATAATCATCCATTCGCCAGTTCTAAAAAATCCCTCTTGTTGGCACATAAATATTGCAATCATATTCACAAGGTCAGACCAAGTCTTACGACTAAACCGTATGTACCTGATTTTTCAGATGAGACATGACCAGTGATTTTTAAACCAATGCCTCAAAAGAGTTTTGCAGAACCCTTGTACTTTAAAAGATCTTGTATTTTCAAAAGTTGTTAATACTTCTCTACTTTTATATATACAAAAAATAAAAAAAATAAAAAAATACTGTCCTCTCGACTCTTTGAGACATTAAAATAGAGTGCTAATCCGCACGACAAAAAAGTGTTTGTAATAAGATAAGTTTGAGAGTGAATGCAAGATCGTGCCTTTTCTTATTGACAAAACTATTTCATAACAATGATATGTTTAAATTTAACATGGTCGAAGACTTGTCAAATACAAACCCCACTCTATAAGGATTAGGGATGCATGCATCTAGCCATTTTAGGGTGAGCTTTTTGTTTACATACATTTAGTTTCTAGATGGACACAAAGCATGGATGAAATAGTTGTTCCTGTACTTTAACACTGAGTGATTATTTAGATGTCTTAGCCGGTGATCCTAGCCATTTCCTTCTTGGCGAAGAAGCTTATCTTTGATCCCTGTTAATGTGAAGCCAATATAACAAGTGACAAAATTCTGTCACGCACAATTTCCTCATGGACGAGACTTTTGTGGCCACTATCAAATCAAATTTAAACGGAGTTTCCAATATCACAAATGCAATGTACCTGTTTGGTCCAATTTTTTGAATCTCCTTTTCTCTCAAAACTCATTTTTAACCACACATTTTATGGGCTTAATTTATACTATTGCATCAATGCATCTGCTGAGTTGTACCATATGCTTGGGGAGTAGGGATCAGATATAAACCCTTTGTCACAATAGCCCTTCATTCCGAGAACCTTCAAAAATTGGGAATAAAATGTCATTCTATTTCACTCATTTTAGTGCTGTGTTCACTTAAATTCTCAACCAGAATTAGTTGAGTTGCTAAAGATGGCTTTAAATGGATCAGACTTGGACCACCCATTTAAATTCTCATTTTATTTGAATACTTTAGTTTTGGGTTGGGATATCATATAGTGATGATGATAAAAGAAAGAATAAGTGCACTCACACAATTAGATGATGTGTAGTGGTTGTTCAAAATCAACAATGGAATAAAATAAAATTATAGAGCCATGTGACCGCATGGAGGTCTCAGCATAAGTGAATCATGCGACTACATGGATTTGTACCACGCATGGTACAATATTTTGGTCGTTGGAGGCTGTTTCTGAACGTTAGATATTTGAATTTGATGATCTTTCACTTGGTTTTTGGCACAATTCACTCCCCTATTCGTGGCCTATATATAGTAGATCTATATTCAAGGTTCGGTGTAAGAAAAACACTTGATATTCATTCCAATTCAACAATCAAAAGATCAAATTCTTGTTCTTCATTTATATTCATTTTCTTATCGTGTTCTTCAAGTTTTGGTGGAAAATACTTTAAGGACAGCGATAACGCGTTTGAGCCTTCGAAATTGTTTCTGACAACATTAGTGATTTCTTAATCTTGTTGCTATAATTTTCTTGATTTTGTTGTTTCTTCTCCATTTCCAATTGTTTTTCCAACAATCTCAAACATTACTTTTTGCGATGGAGAGCGAGATAACAATGGCAACCATAAAACTTATGAATCAAGACTTGGTGCGGTTGGATGGGTTCGATAACACTAACTTCACGTTGTGGCATGACAAGTTGAAATTTCTCCTTACCACGCTAAAGATCTTCTATATTTTGGATCCAGATTTGGCGCCGTTATTGGAACCCACAAATGGAGAAACCAAAGCAATTAAGGCTGAAAGGCAGAAATGCCAAGAAGATGAATTAATATGCCGCGGTCACATACTCAACATGCTGTCGGATCGTTTGTATGATTTATATACCAACACAACATTGGCAAAAGAGATTTGTAATGCTTTAGAGAGTAAGTACAATGCGGAAGAGGAAGGTACTAAGAAATTTCTGATTTCTAAATACATTAAGTTTCTTGATAATATCACCTTACTTCTCCAAGTACACGAATTGCAAGTTATTGTCAACAAACTAAATGCGGTAAATATTGAAATTTCGAAGACATTTCAAGTGAGGGCTATAGTTACTAAACTCCCGAGGACTTGGAAAGGATACCGAAAGAAAGTAATGTATAGTTCCGAATATTATTCTTTGGAACAATTGCAAAAACATCTTCAGATTGAGGAGGAATCCAAATTGCGTGATAGAAGTGAAAACCAATTGGAAGGAACTTCTAAGGCAAATGCCATTTGAAGAACTGAACCGCCTGCAAAATCTAACAAGAGGAAGTCTTCAAAGAACTTTAAAAAATGCAAGAAGACCAAAAGAGGGTGTTTTGTATGTAGAAAATTTGGACACCATGCAAAGGATTGTAGACACTGGAAATGAAACAACTCCAAAGGTAAAATAAATTTCATCCAAGAGGACAAAATTGTGGTCACTATAAGTGAAATAAATGCAATCAAGTGAAAGGTTATCGGGTAGTGATATAATATTTGTGTTACTATACATGTATCATATGATAAATCTTTATTCAAAACATATCATGAAGTGGATGGAGACCAAGAGATTCAAATGGGCAATGAAGTTTGATCCAAGGTTACTGGAAAGGAAAATCTCGACATCATCTTCACTTTTGGGAAAACCGTTACCTTTACAAATGTACTACATGTTCTGGATATGAATAGGAAGTTAGTGAGTGGTAATCTCTTAGAAAAATCGATTATTAAATGTGTGTATGAATTCGGTAAACTTGTACTCTCCTTTAATTGGAAATTTGTTAGAAAATATTATTCTAGTGAAATAATGGTCAAACTTTGTATTGTCGACAAAGAAATAAATAAAACTAATTTTGTTTATATTGTTGATTTATTTTCATTATGGCGTGCCAGATTAGATCATATAGATAGAAGTACTATGAAACGAGTGAAAAAATATGACTTAATTTCATACAATGAAAATAATGAATACAAATGCAAAACATGTGTAGAATCTAAGATGGTTAAAAGACCTTATCAAAGTGTGAAAAGAACGTCTAGCATCTTAGAACTCATTTACACTGATATGTGTGAAACGAATGGCATGTTGATTAGGGGCGAAAATATGTATTTTGACTTTTCTAGATATACATGTGTACTTGATGAAACATAAATATGAGACGTTTGATATATTTAAAGTGTATTAAAATAAAGTTGAAAACCATCTAGAAAAGAAGATAAAGACTTTAAGAAGTGATAGATGTGATGAATACTTTTCTATTAATATTAACTTATTTTGTAAACAATATAGCATAATTCACCAATGTTCTATACTTAGGATACCCGAACAAAATGATTTGGCTGAAAGAAAAAATAGAACCTAGAAATGATTAATGCCATGCTTACATATGTTAAGTTGCAGATTAATTTGTGGGGTGGAGTTTTATTAAATACATGTAGGATACTTAATAGAATTTATTCTAAATATACAAGGATTTCTCTTTATGCATTATTGAAATAAAGAAAATTAAACATTGGATACTTCAAAGTGTGGGGGTGTTTTGCTCATTGCAAAAACACGAACCCTAATAGAACCAAATTAGGTCCAAAAGGCATTAAATGTGCCTTCGTAGGATATGCTAACAATAGCAAATCCTATAGATTGCTAAACTCGGAGACCAATGTGATTATAGAATCAAGTGATGTAGAGTTCTTTGAAGATTTGTTATCTTCAGATAATGAATTAACTAATAATCTTGAAAAGATCCCTAACTCAAGTGGAAGACATAATTAAATGTCTTTTAAAGATATTGATGAGTCCAGCAAACTACGAAAAAGCAAAAGAACTCGAGTTGAGAAGTCTCTAAGACCAGATGAAATTGATTATCAACTTATCTCCTTTTACTTGGTAGAGGGAAATGAGTTGTATGTTGTAAGAACAATTTTTTTATTCTACAAGTGGAAATTGACGCCAAAACGTATAAAGAAGCTATGAGTTCTTGTGATAGCATCTTCTGGAAATATATAATTAAAAATGAAATGGATTCAATAATGTCTAACTATACTTGAGAACTTGTCGATTTGCCTCCAGGATCCAAATCTATTGGATGTAAATGAATATTTAGGAGAAAGTATAATGTTGATGGCTCTTTAAATATTTTCAAGACTAGATTAGTAACCATAGGATATTGATAAAAGCAAGGAATCAACTATTTTGACACTTATGCACCGATAGCTAAAATAGCGATTAGGATATTATTTACATTGGCTTCAATAAATGACTTGCATGTTAATCAAA